CAGTTGTCTTCGCTGAATACTCCACTCAAGATCAGATGGCCAGAAAAGATCAGCAACAGAGATCTCTGGGAGCGAACCAACCCAGCAGAAACCGATTGTGCAATAAATATGCAGGAAGAAATGAAGGTGGATCAGCCATACTCTGAGGAAACCATCAAGTGACATCACTAGACAAGCCATTGCTCGAGTGGTAGCCGAAAGGGAAGTGGCGAGCTGGTCGTCAGTGCGAGGGTGACTTGGAGGAGGTCATGTGAAGAGGAGATGAAGGCATGTGGGCAGACTTGGAGCCAGGTGAAAACTCTACCAGAGAACCGACGGCAATGGAGACGCATGGCTGAAGTCCTATGTTCCTATGGGAATTAAAGGAAACAATAATAATATAATAAAATGGAGAAGGTTTTTGGCTCAGGTTGATGATGGTTAAGTTGACAAGCCTTCATTGTCTTACCAGACAACATTCTCAAAGCATACTTCAGTTTGAAGTAAAGATTCAAAATTCCCCGAGAGTTCATTAGTCATTTCCCCCCGGTGGTAACTTTGAACGTAATTAACTGTTTCTGCATATTTTCTCATCCTCTAGTCTACTTGCATCGAAACTGATTGATTCCTTGATCTGAATGTCAACTCTTGATAAATCTTGCATATGTTGCTGTGTCTATTGATTGCAGATTCACATGAGTACCAGGCTTGCAGAAATTCTCTGGCATTTTTGGCGTTTCCTTTTTCTAAGATTTGAACTTTGTTCTAATCGAATCGGTGTCTATGGTCTTCTGTATGCAGTGATATTAGGGAGTGGTTATCCTGTCCTTTGATGGCCAGTTTATGTTCATGGATGTGAAGACTAAGATGGCGTCCAATTTGGCTAATGTAACGTTTTTCACAGTCGTTGCACTTTCTCTGTTGAGCTTTTTAGTTGATGTAGAGCCAGCCGAGTGAAATGATTTTGTTGGTTTACGGGCAGCATCAATTCCAAAAGGTTTAAATAATCTTGCAATGATTTCTGAAATGTTCTTTATACATGGTAGGGCAATTTTCTTTGTATTTTCCTCAGGGGTCTTTGATTTGGCTGGTCATTTGTGAGAGTATATGTTTTTTGATGAAATTCCGTGGATTTCAGACGCCTAAAAGACATTTTTTCTTCAATTTCCTTTAGGACAGGAGTGTTGCAATGAGTCCTGGCTCTGTTGAATAATGTTTGTATGCAACCCTTTTCTTGTGTGCTATTGAGTTGTCACCAACGTAATTAAAAATATTTGTCTGTGAGTTGATTTTCTGTACACTTGAGTTTCAAATTTTCCTGCATTTGCCAACCGGACTAAGACGTCTAACAGGTAACCATGGACACCAATTCCATCGTGAAACTGTTCAAATCCTAGACACAGGAATCACTAAAAAACTAGAGGATTTCTAGAATTCTGGTATTCAAGTGAATCGGCAATCAATAGACAAGATTTACTAATCCATAAGAAGGAAATCATATGAACAAAAGGTCAAATTTCAGCTCAAGGAAACAATCAATACTTATACAAGGGGACTAGAGGATGAAAAATTACACACAAAAACAGCTAACCACGTAGAAAGTTACCGCCGGAGAAGATGACTAATGAACACATGGAGGATTTTAAAAGCTTACTTGAAATTGAAGTATGTGCTGAGGATATTGTCTAAGAAGACAATGAAAAATTTTTTCTCAACCAAACAATCCAGCTCAAACAACATCACTACACTAAAAAGATAATCATGTCTGTCACAAATGATCAATGAATCAAGTGTTGATTTGTAGGGATTTGATTGGTTACTGGATTTCATCATGAGCTGACGACAGTTAGAGAACCATTGGAAAACCAACAAGGAGTACTGGACAGCTGTTTCGTCCTGGCTTAGGACTCTACAGCAGTACGCACCCACCACGGTTCGAATCTAGGGCCTTCTGTTTACAAGGCGACCTCGTATACCATTAAGCCACTGGGACCCAATCCAATGGCCCATGAACTCTAACTTCTGCCAATTCGCGACATAACGTGACCACTAACCAGCAAGTGGGGTGTGAAGACAAATACTCGCCGAAGACATCGCGAAGTGGTCGCGCTATGTCGTGAATTGGCAGAAGTTAGAATTCATGAGTTGGCCATTGGATCGGGTCCCGGTAGCTTAATGGTATACGAGCTCGCCTTGTAACCAGAAGGCCCTAGATTCGAACCGTGGTGGGCGCGTACTGCTGTAGAGTCCTAAGCCAGGACGAAACAGCTGTCCAATACTCATGATGAAATCCTGTGATCAATGAATCATTTCTACATCTTTGGTACATATGCGTGATAACACACTCGATAACGGACTGTTATAAGGTTTCAGTCCTTGAACTTGAAAATACAATTGGAAGGCCTTTGAAGATGAATTCGTATGTTAATAATACTGTCTCTCCACTGAATTGTCTTTTGTTAACGTTTAAGAAGTTTTTGTATTTTTAGTATATTTTTTGAGTGCTGAAGTTTCTCTAGCCGAATGATAGGTTTAGTGGTGTGGGGTTGCTAGCCCCACGCCCAACTCTCCCTCTTTACCCGGGTTTGAGACAGGCTAGAAAACTAGCGAGCTAGTTAACTAGGCGATGAGATATTCTTAATTGTGGTGGACTGGATTATGCGTCAGACTGTTGGGGGTGAGGTGTCAGGAATACGCTGGACGACCGATAAGAAGACTCTAGAAGATCTGGATTTAGCGTGTGGATGACATATGTCTAATGTCACACACACAAACTCTAAGACTTGCAAGCGTAAACCAACAAACTGGCTGAAGAGGTCAGCAGCGAAAACAGGACTTCAAGTGAACGCAGAGAAAACGGAGGTGATAAAGATCACCAGTCGACTAACCAACATCAACAACAACCAGCACCAGTCACCATCAGTGGGAGAGATTTAACAGAGGTTGCCTTCTTCACTTATCTGGGAAGCATCGTTTCAACTACAGGCAATCGGAACGGACGAAGATGTCAAAGTCACAGTCGGAAAGACAAGATACGCCTTCATCAACCTGAAACCAGTTTGGAAGTCTTCCACTGTCACTCAGCATAAGGAACAAGATTCGCATTTTCAACACCAATATCAAGTCGGTTCTTCTATATTGGTCATAAACTTGGCCAGCGTGTCACGAAAAGGATTTCCAACAAGCTGCAGATTTTCACCAACAGCTGCCTTTGCTCCATACTGAGGATCAACTGGTCAGTCAGAAAGAATAAACAACAGGAAACTATGGGAAAAACCAACCAAGAGCCTATCACTCGACAAATATGTAGGAGAAAGTGGAGATGGATCGGGCATACATTGAGGAGGCCACTGAATGACATCTCACGCCAGGCCACTGTTCGAGTGCAATCCCGTTGGGAATCGACGACTGGGTCGTCCTAGAGTGACATAGAGGAGATCGTGTGAGGAAGAGATGACAGAGTTTTGTCAATCATGGACCCAGGTGAAGAGGACGGCAGAAAACAGAACAAAGTGGAGATGTGTTGTTGAAACCCTATGTTCCACTCGGAAGGCATAAACGTTTACAAATGGTGCAATGACAGATTAATACTGTTGAAGACTTATTCCAATCACTGACACTGACAAAGTTAAGATACAGAGACACTGAATACAGTATTGTTTAATTATTCACGTTGAACAATATAACGGAGGCATCAGTGTTTGTCTGATGAATTTTTTGACACGTGAGGAAAAACGTTTATTCTTGACCACTGCACTGCTAAACACCATAGGAACAAACGAGGATGCCAAAGGCAGGATTGGGAAAGCAAGATATAAACATTTATCTCTCTGAAATCAATGTGGAAATCTGTTGAACTCAGCCTAAGTAAAAAGGTTCGGAATTTTACAACACCAATGCTAAGTTAGTCAGTTCTTCTTTACTTTATGAGTAATAAACTCGGCGTTCGCATCATGAGAAGCATTTCAAACAGGTCACTGCAGATTCTTATCAACAGCTGCCTTCGCTAGCTTGTTAGTGAATATCAAATGGCTAGCCAGAAAGAATCAGTAATGAGAAAACTGCTGGAGCGAACCAATCAGGGTCGGGTGTGAGGACAAATACTCGCCACGGATGACATTGGCTAGCGGTTGCGCTATGTTGTGAATTGGCAGAAGTTAGAATTCACGGGTTGGCCATTGGATCGGGTCCCAGTGGCTTAATGGTATATGAGCTCGCCTTGTAACCAGAATGTCCTGGGTTCTAACTCGGGTGGGTGCGTACCACTGAAGAGTCCCAAACTAGGACGAAAAAGCTGTTCAGTACTCCCTGACTGGTTTTCCACTGGTTCTCTAACCAATGTCAGCTTATGATGAAATCCTGTAACCAATCAACCAAATCCCTACAAGCCAATACTTGAATCAGGAATCAGTCGGTCATCAGATAAGCAGAAGGAAAAGGAGATTGATGAGTGGATAGGATACACACTGAGAAGACTAATGAATGAAACCACACGTCAGACCATTGAGCGGAACTCTTATGGGAAATGAGGAATTGGGCATCGCTTCGGGTATGACAGTCGAGAAGACCTTGTGAATACGAGATCGTCAATAGATTATGGTCATTTGGGGAGTCAGCTAAAGAGAACTGCTGAGAATACAGTGTGAAATGTGGATTTGCTAAGGAACCCAAGCCAATTCCTAGGTTTTGAATCCACAAGTGAAGGTAACAGAATCGTCGACACGTGTTTCGTCTGATTTATAACTCACCGGGTAGGTGTGCCTGCATCTTCAGTGAGACTCGAGTAAATCGCCTCAAATGCCAAAGCATTATCCAACAGGCCACATAGCCACAATAATTAAGGGAACCTACAAGTACAGACACACGCACACGCACACACACACAGACAAATTCCACATAATTACACTTACAACACTTAAGTGTAAATTGAAACAAACAACAGCAGATGCAATGTTCCAATGTAGCCAATAACTTTTAAAATCCGATTAAAACTGTATGTAATTCTCACCTGAATTAATCTATCACAAGTATTTCATCATTTTCATCTGAAATAAAGGATAGAAATATAGAAAATTAAAAAGTTTCTAACTACATGAAATTACTCTGATGGTAGTGCAGAGGAGATGAGGGAATTAACTTCAAAGTGGAATAAAAAGATTATTTTTACTGAGTTCAAAGAAAGAAGAACAATATGACGGTTTTAGTCTTTACATTCTTTCTGTGTCCTTTTACACACAGAGATCTATCATCTCTCTTTTCCTGGCCGTTTATTCCCTTCATCTTTTATTCAATTATCTTGCAGAGGACATCATATGCACACAATATTTATGTATACATTTATATACTACTTACAAAATCTTGTTAGTAGCACGCGTTAAAGTAGTAAATGTATTTATTTTTTCAATAGAACAGAATTTATTATTATTGCTGATAATGCAACATAGCATATTGTTCACAATGACAACATCACCAGCCTCCACAACAACAACAGTCTCTTCGAACGTGACATAAGACAGAAGACGATCTTCTCGAGAGAGCCTTCACCGTCTGAAGTAACAACTGAAACTAGTACACAATAATAATGCCATCTAATGAATAATAATATACATAGTGATATAGGAAGATGGCAATCAACCATCAGATAAGATATTGATCCAATTTCACTTAGCAGGCAGTATATGACAAAAAAGATAAGATCAACTAATATTGATAAATATAGACAGTTCTTCAGTTTTAGATATAAAGGAAAGTGTGAATGAAGCTGTGAATTCCCATGACTGTTGTAAAATTGATGACATTCACATAGAAATCCAGTCAGAGGTTAAGTATCTCGGAGTAATTCCTTCTTCTGACCTATGCCTCGTCTTCCCATGTCTTAGCAATTTCTAAAAAGATATTCCATCTGACCTTCTGCATTAAGAAGTTAAGGCATTCAGGCATGACTCAATCCCTCCTCCTATTACAGTTTGTCAACTCTTGCATCTTACCTAAACTTCTTTACTATTCACCCTTACTATTTCCTGGGTTGCTTAAAAGAAAGACTATGTCATACTTCGTAGGAACTCTAAAAACTGTCGGTCAGTAGGGCGAGTAGTATCCCAACGGACCATATCATTGACATAGTCACTGATAGGCACTTACTTTCATGCAACAAATTTTCTGAAGGAATTTTGTCAGACTGTGAGCATCCACTTTATCCGCAGTTTTCCCCCTACTGTATCTCCTCAGGTAAAACATGAAGTCGTTTTAAAAGACTTTATGCGCTCACGTCTAAGTATGAAAATTCCACTATACCATATTTGGCCCGTATTTTATGTTATGAAAATAGTATCAGGCACGAACTAACTAACTAACCTTCTTTCCACTAGTAAATAAACCACTTTCCCCATCCTTATTCCACCAAGCTTTTTTATTATTGTTCTTCTTATATTTATAATCGTCTCAATTTCCTGTTTTTGTTAATTTTCTCATAAGTGTAAACATCTTTTAAGCTTTGTAGTAATTGTTATTTCTTTTTGTTTTTACCCTCACTATGCTATTTTAAGAGGAAATTAGATTCAATATACTATTACGTGCTAAGATTTCCATTCTGTATCGACGGTATTGTTTGAAAGAAACTCAATGTTATTATTATTATATTTATTATTCTCATCTTATACTTTGCATATTTTCGACATTATTCCTACTGTAAATATGAACAAATTCCTGTAGTTAATTTTATTAATGTTTTGAGTAGATTAGATGCAATATTGTGACAATATTCTTGATAAAGAATATTGTGCTTTGGTGGCACAGCGGTAGAATGCTCGCCGACCACACCCCATGTGGTTCGGGGTTCGATTCCCGGCCACGGACGCACTGCTTTACCTCGCTAAGCAAGTAATAAGACTGGTAAAGAGGGAAGGTTGGGCATGATGAGGCTAGCAGCAACCGTATCCTGTAAAAATAATCACCACTGCTACAGAAACTTCAAGCATGTAGCTAGAAGCCCTATGTTCCACTAGGAACGTAAAGGAAATTTCAAAAAATTGTGACAATATGCGGAGAATTCCATTCTGTATTATAAGTATTGTTTCTGGATCTTTGGAACTAAGGGCATATAACAACAAAACTAGAGGGGATGTACAACACAACGGTAGAGAAGAAAAACAGAAGTACACACTAAACTTACCTCAGATTGTTTATAATCATTGTGTGTTTGAATTAAGCTTTGAATTCGATGTAGACGACGATATAAATCGTGATTGGTTAAATCACTGACTTTATCTCGATTGTATAACGCTTTGAAACACTGAAAACAAAATTGACACAGAAAATATGGAAATTATTAAAATGACTAACTACAAAGCTAATTCATGTGACTGTATCTTCTACTCTCGACCAGAGGCACTGAGATAGTAATTGTATCCATTACAATAGTATCACTAGAACGAGGTGCCAAAATCCGATGAACTACACTTTGCTTATACTAATTATGTTGCTTTGTACACCGGATAGTGAATAAAACCACCTTTGTCACGAAATCTATTCATCAACTAAAGGTTTGACAAGATTCAGAGTCTTGTGAACACGGTGAATAACATTTTGAGGATACTTGGAATGATTCTGGCACTCATCTTTGTAGTGAATTTGAATGGTGCATTCGACATGTCACTCGCTTGGTAATTTGCTCTACCCAAGTGTGTCAATTGTCTAGGAAACTTCTTCCAAAGTATAACATGTTCGTTTGATTTTCAAGTATTGGTTTTGTAGGGATTTTTGTTTAATTGCATCGAGGATTTCATCATGAGCTGACATCAGTTGGAGAACCACTGGAAAATCGAATCTGATGCTCACTAGTGACTGGCCCTATTCAGGCAGTTAACCTGAGGTTCTAGTGTGGAACCGTGACCAGTAGGGTACAGCAAGTTGAAGATGAGGCAGTAACTCATCGAAGAAGACATTGCGAAATGGTCGCGCTATGTCGTGAATTGGTAGAAGTTAGAATTCAAGGACCATTGGATTGGGTCCCAGTGGCTCAATGGTCTACGAGCTCGCCTTGTAACCAGAAGGTCCTGCGTTCGAAACCCAGTGGTGGGTGCGTACTGCTGAAGAGTCCCAGACTAGGACGAAACAGCTGTCCAGTATTCCCAGGTTTTCCAGTGGTTCTGTAACTGATGTCAGCTCATGATGAAATCCTCCATGTTCGTTTGACTTAAGCTAAATCGATCCACTTATGTTGAATCTATCTTACTTTGAAATTTAATCATTTCTGGAATTAGATCTGCATAGATTCCAGCTGTGTAATTACACTGTTTTTTAGCATTATATAACGATTCTCATGGAAACATGACAGAGTGGTGGAGGCTTATAGACTGGCATTACTATTATAATATTAAATTTTCCTTGGTTTCCGAGTAGAACATAGGGCTGGCTTTACCAACGCATCTCCACTTCCTTCTATTTTCTGCCCTCTTCTTCACCTGGGTCCACGACTCCCCATAATATCTCATCTCCTCCTCGTCACACGATCTCCTCCATATCATCCTTACACAGATGACCCAATCGTCGCTTCTAATGGAAATTACAATCGAGCAAAATGTCACTCGACGGCCTCCTCAATGCATGCCCGATCCATCCACCTCCATTTTCCCTCACATATTTGTTGAACAATCGGCTCTTCGTTGGTTCGCTCATTTCCAGAGTTTCTTGTTGCTAATTCTTTCTGGCCGGCCGGCTGGCCATTTAATCTTCTGTATGGAGCCAAGGAAGGTGGCAGCTATTAAAAAATGTCTGCAACTTGTTGGAAATCTGTTTCATGACAGGCTAGCCAAGTTTCTAACCCATATAGATGAACTGACCAACTGACTTCACAGACATTTATGTTGAAAATCCGAATCTTTTCCTTTATTCTGCTGAGTTGTTGTAGCAGATTTCCGAATCAATTTCAGAGTGGCGAAGGCGTTTGTCTTGCATTTCCGATTCTTGCCAGCTTTGACATCTCCATCCTCGCAGTCCTCCTGTGGTCGACACCGTGCTTCCTGATCAGATAAGTGAAGGAAAGAAGTAACTTCTGTCAAATCTCTCCCATTCATGGTGATTGGTGCTGGTTGCTATTACTGTTGGTGGGTTGGTTGGTTGGTTATCTTCATCACCCCCATCTTCTTTATGTTCACGTGGAGTCCTGTCTTCGCTGACTACCACTTCTGTCATTTCGTTGGTTTTCGCCTGAAAGTCTTCAATTTTGTGTGACACTAGACATAAGTCATCCATATGCGAAATCCAGATCTTCTAGAATCTTCTAATCGGTTCAACTTTTTCCTGTTCCCTCACTTCCATGCACAGTCTGATGTATAATCTAGTCCACCATAATTAGGAATGTCACCATCGGTGATTATGGACAGCATGCCTTGTTTTACTCCTGTATTCACTTCAAACACATCACTGAGTTATCCGATGTGGGTTACTTGACATGTGATATTGTCATGTAGCCAACTGTTAAATGAAGTTGATGAAGACGTTGCAAGCCGCAGTGTTCAAGTAGTTTCCAAATTACTTCTCGATCAACGCTGTCTGTCGAAAGCCCTTTCGAAGTTTATGAATTTGAAGTAGAGGCAAAGTTGACTGCCATTCTATGTTTTGTTCCATTATGAAGATGATGCGTAGAGTTGCAGTGTGATCATCACATGATTTGCCTTTCCTGAATCCAGCTTGTTATGGGCGGAGTTCCGCATCCACTGCATGCGTTATTCTCTCCAGGATGACGTGACTTAGTTTTTTACTTGGCTTGGACAACAGCATTGTTCCACGCCACTTCTTGTACAAACCTAAGTCGCCCTTCTTTGGAAGCTTAACTAGATAGCCAGCCTTTCCTCCTCTTCTTCTTTCCAAACCATTTGTAATAATGGCGTGAGTACATCTGCCAAAGTCTCTAGGTCAGTTTTCAGTTCTTTGGGAGGAATTCCGTCTGGTTCTGCTACCTTCCGGACTAGCTTTCAGTAACTTGAACGCATTCAGGATTTCTGCTTTCGTTAGAGGACTGATGTCCACTGACAGTCCTGTGCGTGCTGTTGGTGTTGGTGTATTTCTGGGCGGGTTGCAGATGATGGCCTATTAAAGAGTACTTTGAAGTGATCAGTCCATTGTTTTATTTGTTTCTCTTAGCATGACTGATATATGTATATATACTTAATGGTTTTCTACCCATCATTTAACACAACATTCTACGTCAAAGCAATTAAAACTGTTTTGTAAAAAAAGGGAAGGAAGTCTTATCAGACCAAACAGGCGGGAACTATGTTTTCAGACTATCGGACATATATGAATATAATATTCAAAAGGATCGATAGGCCACGCTTTCACGGTCTGTATTCGTACTGAAAATCAAAATCAAGTAAGCTTTTGCCCTTTTACTCTACGCCAGGTTTATGCCCTAACTGAGCTCACCGTAGGACACCTGCGTTACCATTTGACAGATGTACCGCCCCAGTCAAACTCCCCGCCTGACATGGTCTTCAGAACGGGTCGCACACCACATCAAGACTCAAACACCGCAATCTGCACCACGATTCATCTGACATAACCATGATACCGACACACGTAGCGTTAGACCAAGTATGCCAGCATGTGCTTCACACCAAAATACCATTTCGTTCCCGTTTCACTGAATAAGTAAAGAAACAATGACAGCAGTGGTATTTCACTGACGCCAGGCACCGAAGTACCCAGCTCCCACCTGTTCTACATCCATCATGTTTCCTCACAGAGTCGGACTAGAGTCAAGCTCAACAGGGTCTTCTTTCCCCGCTAATTCTGCCAAGCCTGTTCCCCTGGCTGTGGTTTCGCTATATAGTAGATAAGGACAGTGGGAATCTCGTTAATCCATTCATGCGCGTCACTGGCATACACTCATTCTTTATGTTCTCTACGCTTTGTCTGACTCTTATTTGCAGGTTTGATTACTAGTTGGCATCAGCTAGAGAACCACTGGAAAATTACCAGGTTGTTCTGGATAGCTGTTTCATGCTAGTTTGGAACTCCTTGCAGGACGTACCGACAGGACCTTCCATTTACAAGGCGGGGTCGTAGACCATTCCTCACTGTGATCTGACCCAGTCGCCTATGAACTTCGATATAGCGCAACTGCTAGTCACTGTCACAGGCCAGTAACTATTCTCTTACTAGGCTTAGTGGACCCCACAGGCTACGACTTCTCAACATGTATTCTTGCTTAAACAACAGTGTGATTACATAATATAATAATGGTATGAAATGTAACTAAAATATCTGTGGTTGTATTCATAGTTATATATCAAACAGCAAAACAAATAATTTTATATGTAGAATCATTCATAGGATGTAAAGATTTTGGAAGGAGGTGTAAAATCATGGGATTGCTAGGCAATTAAAACATTGCATAACATGATGTGAAGTTTGATAAGGTAGAATCTAACACTGAAAAAAGATTTTGATTTAGAATGACAAGTAGGACAAGTGAAATAATACCAGGGACAATTCGAAGTGAGAATAGTAATAGTAACAATCGACGTAATAAAGGAAGGGTATAAAAAATTGAATGAACAAAACGAAAAATAAGTACAGTCAAAGTATGAATGGGGATTATCGTACTTTTGTGGAAACGGATTAAGACCATGAAGGTTGGAGGGGTTGAACAAACTTCTTCTGTATGTATTTATAGAGGTCTGGCTTCTCTATTTCGATAAGCAAAGGTTCAGCAGTACAGATGAGTCAGGTTATTTTTCATGTTGTAGATAACCTTAAAGGAAGAGGCTGTAGAGATAATGTGATCAGTATCGACTAGATGTTCAATGATAGAGCTTATTATAGCCCTAATTCTACCTTTTCATAACCATGCAGAATAGCGTGTTCTTGTCCCCTCTTGGATAAAACCCGGTTTACACGGTCAGTGTACCGAGCTCTGCATGAGCAGATGGATGGATAAACGCACATAGAGTTGGTCAGATGAGAGATCTTATCCCTCAGGTCAATGAACAGTAATGGTCAACTAGAAAACGGTATCCTCAATGACGATGCAGCAAATATCCTTTTCAGGGACTATGAGATCCTCTCCTTAATGAAGGCATTAGTTAAGTCATGTTTGAATTGCAGGTTCATGTACAGCATTATCTTGTCCACAGATGTTAAGGTACATTTCATGGGTTTTGATTGTATACTCTTGTCTATGAAACATGGCATTAGGATTTTGTTTAGAAGATTTAACTCTTCCTAGTCAGTATCAGGACTACAAATGACCACTTATGGGAATTTTCGACACATTACTTTCATTTATATACTGCCTTATATATATGCAATATCAAATATGTCAGCTTGGACCATTAACTAAGCAGCAAAATGTTACTTCACATATTGATAATTTCGCACACTCACTCGCTCACTCACTCTATCTATCTATCTGTTTATGTCTGCTTGCATACAGTGAAATTTGACACTCGCATTTTTCAGTCTACATCTGAACAGCACGTTTATATCAAACAGAATACTTAAACTCTCATGTTATTGATTTAAACAATATGTGGGGACTGAGAAAAGGTAGAATATATCACATTACATTCATAAATCAGTCATGTATTCTATTTTACTCAGAGAAATATTTCCCACGTAAAAAGGTAGAATGATGCCGGGTGTAACTATGAGAAGTGTATTTCTCAAGGTTGTCTGGATTTCTGCCTTTTTTTTTAATCAAAAAAGAAAATATGAAGGCTCAGATATCAAACAAATCACAGTGGGAAAAACGCCTGTCTTCCGTTCAAATCGATTTTAAAGGTGGAAATATTGTAGCAATAGTCAACAGAAGATTGGGTAAGTCACTAGCCAAAGCCTGCCATCTTGAAGCCAAGTTGATTCTCGTCTATCGGAAAATTGAAAGTCGATAGATACCCTTTTCATGTTAACTCCAACTGTATATTAAAATTAATATGCATCTGCGGTAGCAGTTACATTAGAAGAACAGAAAGAAGGGCATTCCTCCGATTTTCTGAATATGGACCAAAAAGCCTGTGTCCCAAGGGAACAAACACTTACAATTTTGCTATTACCAGGCATTTCCTTGATAGGGATCATGAGGTGGAAATCACAAAATCCTTTGCAGTTATCGATACACAAAGGAGCTCGATTCTCCTCAAGTTTGCCGAAGCAATCTCTATCAAACGCCTGAAACCCGATTTATGTGTTCAGAAAGAAGCAGTTAACAGTGTTTCCTTGCCCACTTGGTAACCGGGTGTCCTTTTTCTCTATCTCATTTAAAAGATAAACAGATCATGCCAAAAGTACCTTAATCAGTATTATGAAGGTAAGGATAATGGCAACTTGACAGCTGGTTCCGAGTGGAACACATAGGGCTTCAACAGCACATCTACAAATAATGCGATTTGCTGCAGTCTCCACGACTTCTCATAAGCCTTCATCGCCTTCTTTCCCTGCCTGACTGGCAAACATTAACTCTTAATGTGATTGGTGTACACATACTACTCACATCAATCAATCAGTAGTATGTTCCACCGGATAACTTATATAAAATTCATGGTAATAAACTATGACTGGTCTTCTGAATGCGAATGAATAGATCTCCGTTAATCTGTTTTCAATTTCCTCACTCCATCTTAGGTTTCAGAGTAAAGAATCCTTGGATACTATTAATTCTGAAGCCACTACTAGATTGCAAACTATTCAGACAAAGATCTATTATAAGCACTAATGATATATGAAACAAATTTGCTGTGTCTTTCAGACGACAATAAAGTTAGATTTATCTAAAGTCTCTTACGAAAGTCACATATATGGCAGAAATGACACCAATCTAGGATGAATCTGATAAACACCAGCATGTGTTTTAGTCTCAACCTCTGAAAATCTCACTTCAGAAAGAAGTAGTGGATGTTCAAGCGAATTAATCAGTCTACAAGGTATCGATACACCAATATCACAATGAAAGTAATATTCCTTTATCAACTTTATTTTCACATTTGGATTTACTTTAACTTGAATCTTCTGACTCGTAAATTCAGTGCATTGTTTTAAGCTACTCAAAATATGTTTAAGTAGTTCGAAATCGTTTTGAAAAATTTGAAAAGATGGAATACAGCCTTAAATGAGGCAAATAATTTCCGAATTATTAATATGAATAAAATCATACGAATCGTCAAAAAATATTCAATCTTACCACATATACAGCAACACAAATGCCAATAATCCAACCGGCTAGAACATCTTCAAACCAGTTGTTTCTGTACACTACTCTATTAATACCAAGGAGGAGAGCGACTAAACTGACACCAAGCAATGATAGAAATGGGATACACAAACATGCATCACGGAAATTTTTCATCAATGCAGTCACATAAACCTATAAAAAGAAAAAGGAATTTGGAGAACGTAGGACGAAAGGTCAATCAGTTTGGTGGTAAATGTAGTAGTCCCTTCTCAGTGTTTCAAATATGTACGACTGATGAGAATTTACAGAAAATTTACGTGCTTGCTTGCTTAAATTGTGTTCCAGTTAATCTCACAATGGGGTAGTATGATTTACTGGATGATGTTTCTAACCCAACTAGTTGTTCGTAATCATACCAGTTGTAACTACACGGCTTCGAAACTATATATGCATCGTTCTCTTTCTTCCTTCCTGTTTGTTGTAAGGGTGGTCGAATTTTCTAGATGCCGGGGAGAGGTGTTCAATGATCTATGTTTTCCCACTATACAATCTAAAAATACGTTCAAGTTTCATCACGGATTGATATCACTTAAAGAACCCATGAAAACTGACAGGGTGGATTGAGAAGCTATTTATTTCTAATTTAGGATTCTTTAGAAGTGTGCACCTACCAGGATTCCAATCCATGAGGATAGTGGCTGGTGGTTCCACTAAAATCACGAATTGGAAGAAGTTGGAATTTATCAGCCATTGGGGTTCCTATTACTGGAAGGTTTGCAAACTTGCCTTGTAACCGGAGGGGCCTGGGTTCAAACTCTATTGGGTGCGTACTACTGAAGAGCCTAAAACTAGGACGAAATAGCTCCCTCAGTACTCTCTGCTCGTTTACTAGTTGTCTTCTTACAGATGTCAGCTCATTATCTAATTTGAAATGAGTGAAAGACAATAAATACATTCTTGAAAATATATTCACTGGTAGATTTGCCAATATAAGTAAATGTAAACTGTAACTTACTGTGACGAAAATGATAGCATACATTGAAACGGATGCTCCCAGTGAAGGAAATGATGTCCTGAAAAAGGTGAGAATAAAGTAATAAATTAATGAAAATCTTCCCACAGGATAACCTCCAGTATAAAAAAATTTATATATATATATATGTTTCTGCAGCGGCTGAACTAATTTTCCAGGTCAGCGGTTACTTTTCCTGGTTGAACAGCGGCTAAGAAACATTTTAAACTAGACACCAATCTAAATAGGGTCATCTCATTTCACTCAACTAGCTGGATAGCATCGTTTCTACAACAGCTGGAGTAGATGAGGATGTCAAAGTCAGCAAGGATCGTATCGGGATAGACGGACGCTACTTGGTAATCAGTGCGGAAATCTGGTGAATTAAGCAATAAGGAAGAAAGTTTGAATTTTCAACACCATTGTTAAGTCAGTCTATGCTTCTGTACAGTTGAGGGACTTAGTGTGTCATGGAAAGTATTTCTAACAGACTACTGCAGAATTTTATCTACAGCTTCCCCCACTTCTCCGGTTCCATATACTAAAGACTGGATAACCAGTAGTGGTGGTGTTTTTTCATGGAATGGGGCTGCTAAACACACGCCCAGCATCCTCCATTTACTGAACTTAATACTGGCCAAGCGAGCTTTATGAGTGCATTAACCGGGGATCGAACCACAGCCAAACCACATAAAAGTGAACAGTAATCATGATAACTAATTGTAAATGAATGTGAACATTGAACGTTTGTTTATTGGAAATGACAGTCATTGGCGGGTGACTCGAAGGCACGAGTGATTCGATCGTGTACAAGTTGGAAGAAGACGATAGAATACGGATAAAAGTACAGTACATTCCTTGTAAAACATTTGGTTATAGACTTTGCACAGAGTATTGATTTTAACTGCCGAAGAATACAATATCCCACCAGCCCTTGTGTTTTGGAGTGCACGGTATAATTGTCGATTCAAGCGTCTTCGAAAATATTAGGAACTTAGGGTTAAGTTCCTTGACATTAATCGATGCTCAAATATGTATTTTGCATTACAGAAGTCTGTAATGCAACTTAGCAATAGTCACAAACGAAAATCCACAACGTGGCATAAAAAGCAGCAAAGACAATAAACAAAACGAAAACATAGAGAAGACAAAATTGATGACTATACACAATGAACAACCGACCATCATCAATGGGAGAAATTTAAAGAAAGTCGTCTTTTTCAACTATCTTACATCAGTGACATTTTTTAAAACTACAAGTGGCACAGATGACTATGTCAAAGCCAACCAGTCAGCCATGACAGGAAAAACGAAAACGTTCTTCATTACTCTGACAGCGCTATGGAGATTTACAACAGTCACCGTAATGGAAAAGGTCTAAATTGTCATCTGTAATGTCAAGTCAGTCAGAGCTTCTATTTGGTTTGGAGACTTGGAACGTGTACCACCAGAGGCACAGACTTCCATCAACACATGTAGACCAGATGATTTGGCAGAAAACAACTCTGGGAGTTAATCCCTTGAGAATATACAGAAGGAGGTAGAGATGGACTGGACATAAATACTGAAGAGACAGTTGAGTGATATCAAGGGACAGGCATAACTTCGAGTGGAATCCGAACGAGGAACGAAGAATCGGATGTCTCGAAGGCGACCTTGTAAGGAGGAAATGAAGACTTATGAGGAAATGTACATCCAAACTAGAAAGGACTGCATTCGAAGACGATGAAATGGAGATGTACAAATGTAGTCCCATTTTTCATTAAGAAAGCAAAGAACCAATGCAAAGTTTTCGTAATAAAATGCTTACTACTCATAAGTAGGTGAAAAATAAAACTATAAATAATGTTAGACTTTCCAAAAGTATGTTTACTTAATGGGAATTGATAATGTCGTGTTACTTTAAAAGTGGGATAGAAGCAGATAAATGTCCATTTTTCTGCAGAATCATGTTTCACGATATACCCAAATAAATCTTTTCTCATGGGTTCTCATAGGATAGAGTGATCCACAAACACGCAGGTAGTTCAGAGTTCGATCCCCGGCCACGGATGCACTCCTTTCCCTCTCTAAGCCTGTAATAATGCTGGTAGAGAGAGAAGGTTGGGCATACAAGGTTAGCAACTCCATTCCGTAAAAATTAATACCATCGCTACCGAAACTTCAAGACTCTAGCATGAAGCCCAGTGTTCCACTGGGATACTGAAGGAATAAAAAATGATCGCTCATAAGCCTCCAGTTTCCCCCTCCTCACAATCTGATCTTCCACATATCACCCTCTAAGCGACGTCTGGTTCGTCATTTCCCATTGGTTTTCTACTCAAGGGACTAGCACGAGATATCACTCAACTTCGTATTATTGCTCTGTAAACATTCAAAGAGAAATGGAGACGGATTAAGCGTAAGTTATCTCAGAAGAAGAGGAGCTTGTGAATTTCAGAATTCTATTGCACAGTTTCGCACATACAGTACTAAGGTTTCTGCTTATTGGTAACTGTAGAGATAAAGGTAAGGCTGCCAGTATTATTATTATTATTGTTTCCTTTAATTCCTAGAGGAACACAGCCGTGCGTCTCCATTGCGTTCGTTCTCTGCTAGAGTCTTCACCTGGCTACAAATCTGCCCACACGTTTTCATCTCCTCTTCACATGACTTCACATTGCAGTCGAAAATCCGGATCTTATTTTTGATGCTGGGTGTTGTTGACCTCCACACAGACTTGAGAAAAATTAAAGCTTGTCTTGCTTTTCCCGATTCTTGCTTTGATATCCTCGTCAGTTCCATCCGCCTGTAGTTGAAACTATGCTTCCCAGGTAGGTATAGGAGGTTGCTACTTTCAGATTTCTCCCATTTATTCTGATTGTTGTCTGTTGTTGTCGCTGTTGGCAAGGAATCTTCATCACCTCTGTTTTATCTATGTTCACCTGAAGTCCTATCTTCTCTGGATGCTTCTTCTGCCAACTTGTTGCTTTTCGCTTGCATATCTTCCAGTTTGTAGGAAATCAGACATATATATCATCGGCGAAGTCCACATCCTCCAAGAATTTTGTGTGGGTCCATTTTATGCCTGTTTCCTCATTGACCGCTAACTGTTTGTCGCATTATTCAGTCTACTGCAATCAGGAAAATCATTGGCGATAGTAGGCAGCCAGCTTGTCTTACTCATGTCCTCACTTCGAAGGGTTCCGTAAGTTTCCCGTTGTGGAATACTTGGCATGCAGCGTTGTCATACAACTGTTGGATGAGATGTATAATTGTCAGTGGCACCCCGTAGTAGCGAATTAGTTGCCAAATCACCTCTCGATCGACGCTGTCGAAGGCCTTTTCAAAGTCGATGAAGTTGAGATAGAGAGATGACTGCCATTCCAAACTTTGTTCAATGATGATACGTAATGTGGCGATCTGATCAATACATGACTTGTTTCTTCTGAATCCAGCCTGTTCCAGTCGAAGTTTTTCATCCAGGGCTTGTTTGATTACGGCTGCCAGTGATCAATACCAATTTTATTTCTAAGGTTTCTTCCCTCTCACACTACTGTTATAGAGTTATTTATTATTGTTAAAGTTTGACATTTGCCTTCTTGCTTCATTTTTACTACAGTCACTCACAAACTTGTGAAAGAACTATTGGGATTAGTGTCATTATTATTAATCATACCCCTCATTTCGTTCTCCAGCCCTTCTAAACATCATAAACAAGTCAACATGATGTCAGTAGCCTTTTACCTCCATTAAAACATGACTACCTATAATTGTAACTTGTAAAGGTAAACATAGAAGAAGCAAATTGTTTTATTTGCACTCTAAATAATTCCTCTGACAGTGTGTATTATGACAGAATGACATTTATTACATAAATCATAACATTAATAATACTGTGAATATAAAACGTGATTTATCACTCGTTCGTATATTGGGATAAACTACCTAGTACATATTAATGTGCTCATTTTCATTTTTCTCAGTGAAACAACTCTGTAAATCAGTAAGTAAGTAATAATTGAGAAGATTTGTAGCTCAGGTGGATGATCTGCAATTAATAGTGTTCTCTGAGATGGTTGGTTTGGTTTTGGAGCTTTCGTCATCCTTCTGGACATCATCTTCAACGCAATATTTAGCATAAAGTGAAATGATTTAAATATCTTCATGAGTGATATAATTGCATCTCCTGGTAACCATCTTTACATATGTATTAACCATTTTCTATTGACTTGGATTTTAAACTTTCTGGTCACCTGATTTACTTTTTATTAGTCGGTATATTTCGTCTATATTAACGTGATTGTTAATTGCATATTCGTTTGAGTACAAGGCTTCTAGGAATTCCCTGACTGCACTTTTGGTGTTTCCTCTGTCCAAGATTTTGACATTATCCTAATCAAACTGATGTCCATAATTGTCTATATGCATTGATACTAAAGAATATACATCGTGTCTTTTCACGTCTGATTTGTGTTCTTGGATTCTGATTCAATGGGGACGCCCACTTTGGCCGATGTAATGCCTGTTACAGTTCATACAATTTATTTTGTAAATGGTATTAATTTTATCTCCTTTTTCTGTTGGATCTTTCGGTTTGCATAATATCGAATTAAGCGATTTGACTGGCTTGTGTGCTATATGTATATCAAACGGTTTCAGTATTCTAGCTGTTATTTTAGAGATATTTCTCATCTATTCTAAATATTGCGCTGAAGATGTTTCCCAGAAGGACGACGAAAGCTCCGCAACCAAACCAACCAGCTCAGAGAACACTATTAATTGAAAAAGTAAGTAAGTGAGTAATTAAGTGAGAAAGTGAGCAATCAAGTGAGTCAGTGTGTGAGAAAGTAAGTGAGCAAGTGAGTGAATAAATAAGTGAGTTAGTAATTCAGTGACTAAGTGAGTTATAAAATAATTAATTTAGTAAGTGATTGAGTAAGAGAGTAAACAGATGAGTAACTGAGTATGTAAGTTGGTAAATTATTGAGTGGGTGAGTAAAAAAGTATATAAGTAAGTGAGTAACTGAGCACGTGAGCACGTGAGCTAATGAGTGAGTAATTAAGTAAATATGTGAGTAAATAAATGAGTAAGTGAGTGACTAAGCAATTAATTAGGTATTTAACTAAATGCTCATCAGTAACGAATAAATGTGACATTTAATTCAATCCATTTACGGAATCCTTCGAAGTGAGGACAGGAGTTAGACAAGCTGGCTGCCTACTATCGCCAATGATTTTCCTGATTGCAGTAGACTGAATAATGCGACAGACAGTTAGCGGTCAATGAGGAAACAGGCATAAAATGGACTCACACAAAATACTTGGAGGATCTGAACTTCGCCGATGATATATATGTCTGATTTCCTACAAACTGGGAGATATGCAAGGGAAAAGCAACAAGTTGGCGATGGAAGAAGCATCAAAGATAGGAGGGACTTCAGGTGAACATAGAGAATACAAAGGTGATGAAGATTCCTGGGCAACATCACCAACAGCAACAACAACAGCAGACAACGATCAGCATAAATGGGAGGAACCTGAAAGAAACAACCTCCTTCACCTACCTGGGAAGCATCGTCTCAACTACAGGCGGATGGAACTGACGAGGATACCAAAGCAAAAATAGGGAAAGCAAGACAAGCTTTAATTTTTCTCAAGTCTGTGTGGAGGTCAACAACACTCAGCATCAAAAATAAGATCCGGATTTTCAACTCCAGTGTGAAGTCAGTGGTACATACCACACGGATCAGAGACTTGGCGCGTCATAAAGAGCATCTCAAACAAACTACAGACCTTCATTAACAGTTGTCTTCGCTCAATACTCAAGATCAGATGGCCGGCCAGAAAAGATCAGCAACAGGGATATCTGGGAGTGAACCAACCAGGTAGGAACCGATTGTGCAACAAATAAGCAGAAAGAAATGGAGATGGATTGGCCTTACTCTGAGGAAACCATCAAGCGACATCACTAGACAAGCCCTCGAGTGGAACCCGAATGGGGATCGATGAGTTGGTCGTCAGTGAGAGGGTGACTTGGAGGAGGTCATGTGAAGAGGAGATGAAAGCGTGTGGGCAGACTTGGAGCCAGTTGAAAACTCTAGCAGAGAACCGAAGGCAATGGAGACGCACGGCTGAAGCCCTATGTTCCTATGGGAATTAAAGGAAACAATAATAATAATTTAATTTAATCCAGGTTAATTCATCAGAATCATTAGTCACCAATATTTAGCATTTAAAAGCAACCTGAAGCGGCGAAAAATATCCGGAAATCATACAAATAAATAAAATAAATAAAAATAATAAATAAAACAATTAAATTTTATGGCACAAATGACAGCTAAAGGAAGAGGGAAGAAACTATGTCGTTTGTTAATGAGTCAGCCATTTTAGACTGCTCAAGATGAGTAGAGCCAGGTCTCAAACAACTGGGAAATCATTACACATAAGGAAGTGAGAATTCTATTTAGCTGGAAAACAGAAGTTGGATGTCTATCCAGCATATGATTCCTTTCTAACTCCCATGCCTAAATGTTAATAGAAGAGCAGTTTGATTTGATTAACTAACGTATAAAATACCATAGTCAGCCTCACGAAAAAAATCGCTAAGATGACTAAAACTAATACAACTTTATCGTAAAGCCAACATTCTACCCAGTTGAAGAATTTTTCTTCATCAACACGGGTAAAGCGGGTAAAAACGTGGGTAGTGATTCTCTCGATATACTGGTAAAGTGGGGATATAAAGGATATTTTTGGGAAGGATATGAGTGACATGGGAAAACGTGGATAGTATTTTATGCTCATATTAGAAAATTGGGAAAAAAGATAAGTTGCTTGTTGAAAACGAATGGGAAAGGAGAAATAAAAGTAGATATTTTGTGTTGTATTTTACCCACACCTCATTCGATTGAAGCTTTCCAAATTCCCTACTTTATCCCTGGACATTCTCCTACTCTGAGGAGAGGGTGCTTATTGACAACTTCCAAGGAGTCAATGTTATCTTTGTTAATACAACCGGCATTACATAGTGCTACATTCCTCCTAATCTATACTACTGAATAATTTGTGCTTACGCGTGACCTCCTCAAGACTGTTATGGTTATGTTGGTGCCGTACTGTGGAGTAAAGGAAGCCGTGTATCTAGTCCTTGACCGTGCTGTTTTAATTCTATCAATCAACGTATTACTGTGTAGTATAGAAGAAATTCCGACAAAGGTGATTACCACTCTGTTGTATAAAATAATACACTTGATTGTTAAGTAACTTGGAAAGTAATTCAACACTATGGAGTATAGTGACCCAAGTCTTTATCAACCTCATTCAACAGCTGCCTGGCTACATAACAATGCCACATGTCAAGTGATCCACAAAGGGAAAACTCAGTGAAGCGTTCGAAGTGAAGACAAGGGTAAGGCAAGACTGCCTTTCATCACTGACGATGTCATTCCTAATTGTAGTGGACTGGATTATGCGTCAGACTGTGTTCAGAGAGTGAGAAGACAGGAATACGTTAGACCCATAAGAGGAAGACTCTAGAAGATCTGGATTTCGCCTGTAGATGACTTATGTCTAATGTCACATAAACTCAAAGACATACAGGCGAAAACCGATAAACAAGTTGGGATGAGAAGCAGGAGGCAAAGACAGGATATACATCGAACGTGAAGAAGAAGACGTAAGTGATGAAGGTAACCGATCAACAACAGAAGAACAACAAACACCAGTCACCATCAACGGGAGAAATTTGAGAGAGGTTACCTCCTTCCTTCACTTATCTAAGAAGCATCGTTTCAACTTCGGGTGGAATGGAAGAAGATATCAAAGCCAGCCAACCAAAGAATTGTGAAACTAATAATAATAATAGCATAAATAAGAGAGACTATAAGTCATCTACAGTTATACCATATAAAGAGGGGACATCTGAGACCCTACGTAGGATTCTAAACAAAGCAGGAATTAGGGTGGCATTCAAACCTACAAACTCACTCAGGGACAAGCTCTGTAGGTTAAAGGACCTAGTTAACCCAATTAGATAAAATAATATATATTACAAAATACCCTGCAATGACTGTGAGGTCAACTATATAGGTCAAACTAGTAGGTCAGGGGTAGTCAGATTGTCAGAACATAAGAATTTAGCTAAAGTAAGAATGGTTGACCCAGAGAAGATAAGTATTCTAGAAAAAAGCTTGGCAATTGCAATGCATGCATTAACACACAACCACACAGTAGGGTGGGAGAAGACTAAAATTCTAAAAGGTAATCCAGGTAGGTGGAGAGAGAGGTTGATTACTGAATCCTGCCTCGTTCATCGAGTCTACACTCAACACATGCAATAGGAATGATTCATCACTCATACCCGAAATATGGAAAATATTACTACCAATCAAATCAAGTGAAAAACAATGGAACTATATAAATGAATTTAGGAAGTCGTGTGATTACCTTGATATGATTATGAGTGGCAATAAATTGTGCTCGAAACGTGGTCATCAGTAAACATTACTGTATAACACTGTGAGACTTTATCAAAACAAAATTTACCCATAAGTGGAATTACACTCTACCACCACAGTGCAAAAGTTTTATTCTTATGCTAGCCAACCATAACCGGAAAGATAAGGTACATCTTCATCACTCTTTGAAATCGGCTTGGAAATCTTCTGCACTAACTCAGCACAAAGAACAAAATTCGGATTCTCAACATCAATGTGGAGTCAGTCAGTGCTTCTATATAGGTGGGAAAATTGGTGCACGCTTCACGAAAAGCATTTCGAACAGGTCACTGAAAACTTTTATCAACATATGCCTTCTCTGGCTCCATACCGAAGTTCAAATGGCCAGAAGGTATCCCCAACAAGAAACTCTAGGAACAGACCATCTAAGAACCTAGTGCTCAGCAGATATTTAGAAGAAAATCAATTGAGAACATGCTGAGGAGGCCGTTGAATCACATCACGATCAATGCAGACCATCACTCGAGTGGAACCTAAATGGGAAATGAAGAGTTGGACGTGAGTCCCAGGGTAACAGGGATGAGATCGTGTGAGGAAGAGACGAGAAACAATAGACAATTGTGAGGACGGCTAAAGAGGACCACAACAGATAGGGCAAAGTGGAGATGTGCTGTTGAAGCCCTATGCTCCACTCGGAACCCAAAGGAACAATAATAATAATAAATCTCTCTTACCTGGCTTCTTTAAGCTTCAAAATATTATTCTCCATACAATCAGCATTAGTTAACAGCCCATCAGGTATTTGACCATTAGTCGATTCCGGTGAAGGTGTTGTAGCCACTGTGACTAAATATTTTCCTTGTTTAGCCAATTGAGCAACAATTATATCTAGCAGTCTTGGATCTGATTCAATGCCACCACGTTCATCGGCAGATTGACGTGTTTTTTGAATTAATCCATACCATTTTGGACAGACATTAGCCGATGGACGACAGATTTGAATGAAATCCGGACGAAGACGTCCAATTGAAACTTTGATCAGCCAAACTAGCAGCATTGTTACCAGGAGACCAAATATGTATGTCACTAGGAATGGAAATTTAAAAAAAGCTAATATAAGACCTTTTAAACAGCTTAGTGAAAGTTATTCGAAGGTATATAACTGTAAATAATGGAGAAAAAAAGCTACCAGTATAAAATGAGCTACCGCACAGGGATTTGTAACAGAATCTCAGCTAAAATGTTCTACTTTATAATATGGGGTGCTCTACAGGAAAGACTTATGAGATTCAGACTGGTAGGAAGTGGCTAAAAATTGAAACCAACATTTAAAGTTAATGAATGGCTACAGAAGTGGAAGTGTGTATTCCTCAAATCTGGATTTAGTTTACGTTGTGGTCTGGAAACAATTTCATTGGACAGCTTTTCATCCCTCTGTTTCACCTTGGACCAGTGAGCAACCAATTAGAACAGTTCATTGTCCGTTATCACTTCTCTTATCTTCTGTCGTTACAATAATACTTGCCAGTAAAGCGTATCTGTCATCACAGAAGACAGCTAACATATAAAGATGTTTAGTACTCAAAAAAGCATCACCCAATGTCAAAATTCACTGGGCTACAAGCGAATTATTGTTAGGTGCTTGGACGTAATCAGTAGGAAGCTGTGAACCAGGGTTTCGCACACATCGGGACTCGTCAGGTAGTTTTATCTGTAACCACAAAGACAATTAAATTCTGAGTAACTGCACTACATCCTTATCGATAGGAAACTTGATGGTGAAAAGGTCAACTCCAAATTTCTGTGATTCCTGTGCACTGCTACGGAGAACTAAACTGCAGAGAAGTGGCTAAAATCTATGGCAATATTGAGAAAGCTTGCATTTAGACATTTCTTAGACTAAAATAAGGGAGTCTGAGTAAAGAATATACTTCTCAATAACTTCCTCAACTGGCTCACGGTTATATATACCGATGAAAGTCTGCAACTGGTTCGAAGTGAATTTGGTGAACAAAGTGCCAAGTTTCTAGCCCATATGGAAGAATTGACTGACTAATTTTGAATAAAGCAAGAACAACAGTGATTTGTGCAGAATAAGGTGATGATACCACCATTGCTTATTTCTTTGGCTTCTCATCAGCTCATCTGCTTACAGCCCAAAGAAATTATTAAGTATCTCTAAAGAAACAATTTTAACACACTTGAACAGAGTTCATTTTAAGCAAAAATCAATCAGTCAATATATGCTTAAAGTAATAATATATATAATAATAATAAAAACTTTATCCCGAACAATAATTACCATATACAATGGAAAAATTGGCATTACACAACCAGTTACAAGGGCAAGGAAATCAAAAATCGAAAGATATCCTTCTTGTGTTAACTCCAACTGTACATAAATATTTACATGTTTCTGCGGCAGCAGTTACATTAGAAGACCAGAAAGAAGAGCATACCTCCGATTTTCTGAACATATACCAAAAAGCCTATATCTAAAGAGAACAATCGCTTTAAACAGTGCCATCGCCAAGCATCTTCTTGACACGGGTCATGAGGTAGATGTCGCAAGACCATTCAAAGTTATCAATAGGCAAAAGAGTTCAATTATCCTCAAGTTTGCCGCAGCGATCTCTATCAAGCGCCTGAAATCCGATTTATACGTTCAGAAAGAAGCAGTTATCAGTCTTTCCTTGCCGTAGTAACTGGATATTTTCATCCTCTCTTTCATGTGATTACATAACGCCTTAAGTTTCCATTGTGTATGATCATTATTGTTGAGGATAAAGTTTTTATTATTATTTTACGAGTTGCTCACGGATTGATATCAGTTAGAGAATCACTGAAAACCAGCACTAGAGTACTGGATAGCTGTTTCATCTTAGTTTGGGAATCATCGGCAGTACGCACCCACCACTACAGTTCGAACCCGGGACCTTCCGATTACAAGGAAAGCTGGCTCGTAAACCATTCAGCCACTGGGACCTAACACCTGAATGACCAGCCTATAAATTCTAACTTCTATCAATTCGTAATTTAGCGGGATTTAGCTTGCCTTGTAACCGGAAGGTAGTGGGTTCGAATCCTGGCGGTGGGTGCGTACTGCCGATAATTCCCAAAATAGGATGAAACAGTTGTGCCGTACACCCTGTGGCTGGTTTTCAATGCTTCTCTAACTGATATTAATCCGTGATCAACTCGTAAAGACAAAACTAACCCTTGCAAACCAAAATATAGAAAAGTTTATTATTATATATATATATATATTATAGTATGCACATATTGATTGATTTTTGTTTAAAATGAACTCTGTACAAGTGTGTTAAAATCGTTTCTTTAGAGATACTTAATAATGACTTTGGCATGTAAGCAGATGAGCTGATGAGAAGCCAACGAAATAAGCAATCATGGTATCATCACCTTGTTCTGCACAAACCATTGCTGTTGTTCATGCTTTATTCCAATTCATTAAGGGGAATTAAATGTATGAAATGACTGATTTTAACATTAGTGTTGAAAATCTGAATTTTGCTCGTTATTCTGATTGCAGAAGATTTCCACACAGATTTCAGAGTGATAACAGTCTGCTGTGCCATTCCAACCCTGGCTAGTTTTGACATCCTCATTCGTTTCGCCTAGTTTTCTAGCCGTTTCCTAAGCCCCCCCCCCTCCAAAAAAAGTGGGAACGCTGGGAGTGAGGTTAGTGACCCTACCTCGGAAAAATCAATCCAATCGCTATGTAGAAACTTCAAAGTACAGCATAAGTATCAAATATAAGCCTGAAATAAAGTTTTAAAAAAAAGTAGACTTACTAAGTAAGCGATAAAGTTGACCAAAAAATTTCATAGCTCTCCATGGTCTCATTGTACTTCTCGACAGACAGATTTGACAACAGTTGAAAAAGTAGAAACTGATTTCAGCAAAACAAATCTACGAAAAAAAATTGTAAAACAAATTTTTGAAATTGTAAACTATTACGAATAAAATTGTTCGGTAATTGTTGGGTTTTTTGTTTTATTCCTATACGTTCCCAGTAAAGCATAGAGCTTCAGTAGCGGTGGTTTTACTTTTCGGGGTGAGATTGCTCACTTCGCATCCAACCTTCCCTCTTTATCCGGCTCAACTACCGGCTTAGCCAGGCCTAAGAGTGCATTGGCTGGGGATCGAACCCTAAACACCAATTGTTAGTAGAGAAATTTTCACAGAGTCATTACTTAATACATTCTGAGTTTTTAAGACAGTAGCTAAAACCTCCAAGAAGAAATGTATTCCCCTAGGACTGTGAACACACGTTAAACATTAGTGTCAGGAAGCGTGAAAGTCGAACAAAGTAGGATTTACTGTTGACCGACGTCTGATCTACCTCGAATACCGAATGCTCAAAAATCAGTTTGTAACGATTTGATTTGTTTCAAGCTTGTTCATGGATTAACCACTAAAAACCATGCAGTAGTACTAAACAGTAGCTTCATCCTAGTTTGGGACTCTTCATCAGCACGCCTTCAACGGAATTAGAACACAGGACCTTCCAGCTGCAAGGTACCCAGTCTAATAGCTCATGAATTCCAACTTCTAATGCTTTGTGATTTTTGCCCCGCCATAAGGACGAAATAGCTATCCAGTACTTGCTAGCTTTGAGTGGTACTCTAAGTGATATCAGTGCGTGTTCAAACCTGAAACACTACGGAACTGTTTGACTTAGATTTATGCGGTCAGCATAATACAGTTTCATTTAAGGGTATCAGTCAGCATCTGGAACCTTTCTCTGTAATATTCTTCTATTCTCACTGGCAGTCTTTCAAGTCATTCTAATTTCCATAAAAGTAATTGGAGATCATATATAGTGACCAGTAATACTTGAAAATGAGATCAGGTAGATCTAAATAAAGGAAATCAGTTTCGGTTATTAGTGGGAAGGGAAGATGTGAGTTCATACTGAAATATTTCACCTCTAAGTTGGTTACCACTTCTGGAGTAACCGCTGCCATGAAACAAAAAGTCAATACAGTGAAGTAGTAGTAGTAGTAGTAGTAACTGTAACGGAATTACTATTTGGAAAATCCCTCCTAAACGATCTATTTATGATATGGATACTTGGTATTAGATGGTTGGAGGCAATCGGCCACAGGAAGCCCTACCTCACCTAGGTTTCGTGCTAGTTGGCACTCACAAGTCAGCAAGGCGTATCTGCAATTACCTTGAAGGAACTCATGTCCCTTCTGAGATTCGAACCCCCGTCACTCAGTGCTGCCTGCAGTCAGAGACGTTACCTCTGAGCTGTCCAGGCTGACAACTGATCTCCTCCTGTAGGACTGACTGTATTGGATATTTTTGATTGGACACCAGTCAGTAACTAGTGTAATGTATCTAGTCCTATCTTCAGTGCAGACTGAATTCTATCAGTCAAGCTTACAATGTGGCCACCATGCCACTAGGTGGCTCGCCATCAAGGTACACTGTGAATTAATTGGTATTAAGTGGTTGGAGGTGATCGGCAACTAACTATATTATTATCATACGTTTTTATCCTAGACTGTATATGACTATTCTCAAGCATGCATACCATTTGTTGACTTAATCCTCATTATTTATCTTTAGTCTTGTTCAGTTTCTAATTGTGAATGCTTCTCTTAGTTTGTCTGTAACAATTAAAATAATCGTTGACCTCTGTTTTGAGTCTACACTGTACAGCTTCGAAGTGAAGTTATGAAGACATATCTCCTTGCTGACTCATGTATTATTAAACATACAGGGGAAAATGGAGATGGGTTGGACATTCTGTGAGGAGACCACTAATCGACGTCACATACAAAGTTGTCACGTGAATACTGAGTAAGAATAGGTAAAAGCGACTAGAGAGAATCAATTCCAATGGAGTTGTTTGCCGTTCAGTGCGTCTTTGCGTCGGTGGCACAGCGGTTAGGACTCTCGGTGACCATGCACGTGGTCCGGGGTTCGATCCCCTGCCGACGCACGCTTGATATCAATAGTCGGGCTGCAAAAGTTTGGCTAAAGGTATCACATGCTGAAAATTCCATACTTGTACCAAAAATACGGTATGGAATCAAGCTATAATAAAAAATGTAAATAAATATATAAAATATATATTATTATTGTTTCCTTTAGTTCCTAGAGGAACACAGGACTTCAGCCGCAAGTCTTGATTGTGTTCGGTTCTCCGCCAACATTTCACCTGGCTCCGAGTCTGCCCACATGCTTTCATCTACTCTTCACATCACGTCCTCCATGTCATTGTCACACTGACGACCAACTCGCCGCTTCCCATTACGATTCCACTCAAGCGATGCCCTGGCGTGTGATGTCACTTGGAGGTGGTTTGTTTTCTCAGAGTATGGCCAATCCAATCCACCTCCATTTCTTCCTGCACATTCGTTGCACAATCGGTTCCTGGTTGGTTAATTCGCTCCCAGAGATCCCTCTATGTTGCTGATCTTTTCTGGCCATCTGATTTTGAGTAGTATTGAGCGAAGACAGCTGTTGATTAAAGTATGTAGTTTGTTCATAGTGCTCTACATGACGCGCCACGTCTCTGATCCGTATAGTTTGTAGCACTGACTTCACATTGGAGTTGAAAATCCGAGTCTTATTTTCATTTTCGTGATGGGTGATGTTGATCTCCACACAGACTTGAGAGAAATAAAAGCTTGCCTTGCTTTCCCGATCCTCACTTTGATATCCTCGTCAGTTTGGTCCGCCTGTAGTTGAAACGATGCTTCCCATGTAGGTAGGTAGATAGATAAGGGAGGTTGCTTCTTTCAGATTTCTTCCATTCATGCTGATTCTTGTCTGTTATTGTTGCTGTTGGCCAGGAATCGTCATCACCTCTGTTTTCTCTATGTTCATTTGAAGTCCTATCTTCTCTGGATGCTTCTTCTGCCAACTTGTTGCTTTTCACTTGCATATCTTCCAGTTTGTGGGAAATCAGACATAAATCATCGGCGAAGTCCAGATCCTCCAAATTTTTGTGTGGGTCGATATTATGCCTGTCTCCTCGTTGCCCGTTAACTGTCTGTCGCATTATCCAGTCTATCGCAATCAGTTAAATCATTGGAGATAGTAGGCAGTTAGCTTGTCTTACTCCCATCTCCACTTCTTCGAAGGATTCCTTGAGTTTCCCGTTGTGGATTACATGGCATGCAGCATTGTTGTACAATTGTTGGATGAGGTGTATAATTGTTGAAAATCCATATACTCCACTCAGAATACAAACAGTGAACAACAATGATAAGAATAACATCTAGAGATACTTACCACTATTAAAGGTATGATTATCGATCCAGTAACTATTGAACTAACAGTTATATGACGATAAATATCAGTCTGCGACTGTGATAACTGTAACCATGGATCATTTCGCAATCTTTGATTAAACTCTTTATCAGTTGGATAATTACGACCATGCAGTTGAACAGTGTCACTTGGTCCGTATAAATGTTGTTCAGCTGACGGGATGATTAACCTCGGTGGAAGCATTAGCCCCAAATCTCCATCCCAATAATCAGGATTAACTCGATTCATCTCAGCAGTCCGTTCCGTTTGATATCGTGACAGTAGGGATAATGGATTAGGCGAAGTTAGGCTTGGATAGGATGATGCAGCCGGTTGTCTATTCATTATATTAATACGTTCCAACAGAGGTTTAAGATCAGTGTTTGAGTCAACGCCGCCTGAACCGCTGCTGCCGCCAACACCACCAACACCACTGTTGAAACTTTCACTATTTAAACTGTCTGTATAACCAGGTGGAAGATCTGGACATTGAAATTTTCTTTGATATAAAGGTATCCAATCTGCCCATCTGAAATTAGAAAAAAAAGAAAAGAAGACAACGGTAAATAATTCGGAGGGTAGATTATAATCTCACCTTTCGGGGAATATTTCTTCTACTGGCCAAAAGAAGTGAGTACTTCCACTCTCCTCAGTGTAATTAATAGTACAGTATTCTGTAGGTTACTTGAAGAAACTCACCGTTTATGCCCTTCCCTAGTTCTTTACAATAGTGAGTGTTTTATCAAGTAATATAAAACGTATTTTTTAGAATACATTCTATCTCCTTGTTCCACTAGGCGTTGGAATTTAGGTAATCCGAGTTTAAATATACCCCATAAAAGTACGAAAGAAGTGAAGAATAGGAAAGGTTTGGTGGTTTTAATTAGTTCATTAGATTTAATTAAGTCAAGGGAGAGACAATGGTAGAACAAACTTCTTTTTCGTGCAAAGACTATGATTGTTCTCTTGAATCTTCATAGCCTCGGCTAGGTGAGATAGAAAGGTAAATAACCTTGAGGGTACTTCTTCTGTCCACTTGGTAAACATTGTCGATCAAATGGCCTTTTCCTTCCTGGTCATGAAAAACCAGGGAGCATTAGACAGCTCTTTCCTCCTCGTGTGTTACTGCAGCACACGCACCTGAGATCCCACCAAGGACCTACGATAGGCCTTCGGGCGACGAGATCGAATTGCTGACTGTTCTTCCAGTTCGGCTTGAATCCAAACACCAGGAAAATTTAACTTCTGTCAATTTTTGAGATAGCGCTACTGATAACCGATGTCTTCGAAGAATACACAAGTCACCATGGGATGGTAAAGCCTACTGGCCACGAATTTTCAGTACAGTTTTGCAATATCCATTCAGTAGGCATCAAGGAGATGGAAATTGATATCCAGATTACGGGGTTTTGTACGGATTTTCATTAATATTAATGTAGATTTCGTTTTTTGCCTTTTTCGATTCTGGTTGATTTCGACATCTTCATCCGTGCCATGTGCCTGCGGTTGAAACCATGCTTCCTGGCCAGATAAGTGATGGAAGTAACCTCTATCAAATCCCTCTCGTTGATGGTGATTGGTGTTGGTTGTTTTTGTTGTTGCTGTTGGTTGCTTGGTTGGTTGGTCAACTTCGTCACCTCCGTTTTCTCTATATTCACGTGGAGTCGTGTCTTCTCCATCTGCCGGCTTCTCCAGCCAGTTTGTTGTTTTTCGTCTGCAGGTCTTCGAGTTTATGTGACGTTAGAGACAAATCATCCCCGAAGTCCAGATGTTCTATAGTCGTCTTATCGGTCCAACTTATTCCCGTCTTCTCACTTCCCACAGTCCGACGTAAAATTCAGTCCACCATAATTAGGAATGCCATCATCACCGATGATGACATGTATTCACTTCAAACACATTGCTGACTTTTCTGTTGTAGGTCACTTGACATGTGGCATTGTCATACAACCAGCTCTTGAACTAGACTGATAAAGATTTGGGCATTTCACGCCATATTGTTGAAGTAGTTTTTAAATTACTTCTCCATCAACGCTATCTGTCGAAGGCGTTTTCGAAGTCGATGAAGTTGAGGTAGAGGCAAAGTTAACTGCCATTTTATGCTTTGTTCTGTGATGATGATGATGATGCGTAGAGTTGCAATTTGATCAGCACATGATATGCCTTTACTGAATGCAGCTTGTTCTGGGCGGTCAGCCGGAGTTCTGCATCCAATGAATCTTTTATTCTCTCCAAGATGATGAGACATAGTATTATGCTTGGTATGAACAACAACACTAGTCCACGCCAGTTCTTGCAGAGGCGTAAGTCTCCCTTCTTTTGTAGCCTGACAAGACAGCCAGCATTTCTTCTAATCCGTAGGTACCTTTCCTTCCTTCCAAACCTTTTGCAATATGCCGTTCTTTTACCTTTTGTAAAAGTAAAATTATGTGAAACAAGTAGGCTTAGATTGACCAGCTAACTAATATCTAGGGGATGAATGATCTTCTAACACTTAAACTACCAATAAGCCCTTATTTGCAGATTATCTTACAACTAGGTGTTATAATTTAGCTAGTTCAAATTTGTGGTATTCTTCAGTAAAAAATTCTCTAAGGATTTCTACTGGGATAATAATATTTTTTAAATCATGGAAAATTCCCATTGTAACATATAGAAAATCAAAACAAGTGGTGATTCAGCGAAGAGACTCTTTTCAACAAATTTATCATCAAGCTGTACAATCGTATATGTATATGGTTTTTAAGAAGTTATATCCGGCGAGGGAATTGAAACATAGGTGTGAATGCATGAAATAATAATAACAATATGAAATGCAATTAAAACTTAAATGTTTGTGATTATAATCGTATTTAAATTTCAAGTGGCAAAGCAAATTAATGTCACATATAGAATAATCCAGAGGATGGACAGAACTTGAAAAAGGGTGTGCAATTATAAGATTAGTAGACAAATCGAATAAAATAAAAACGTTACGTAATATTGTGTGAAATCTGATAGCATAGAATTTAATGTTGCATAAAGGAATTGATTTAGAATAACAAGTGGAACAAGTGAAATAATACCGCGGACAGTTAAAAGTGAGAGTAGTAATAGTAACAATTGACTTAATAAGGAAAAGTATACAAATTGAATGGACAAAAATGAAAAAATGAAAAATTGGTAGAGCTAAAATATGATTGGGGATTACCATACTTTAGCATAGAGGGATTAAGACCATGAAAGTTGGAGGGGTTGAACGAACTTTTTCTGTACACAGAGATCTGGCTTTTCTGTTTCGATAGACAAAGCTTGAGCAGTACAGATGAGTCGGGCACGTAGGGATTTGGGTAAATTACTCTTTGCCTTGTAGATAACTTTGAAGGCGGATGCTATAGAGATAGGGTGATCATTATCGACCAGATGTTCAATGATCACGCTTCTTATTGCCCCACTTCCACCTTTTCGTAACCATGCAGGATAGTGTTCTTGCACCCTCTTGGACAAAACTCGTGTCGAACTACCGATATACCTAGCTCCACACGAGCAGGTGAATTGATAAACACACATAGAGTTGGTCAACAGCGGGATCTTGTCCTTCAGGTTATTGAACAATAATGGTCGACTAGTAAAGGCTATTCTCAGGGATGCAGCATGGAATTTTCTTTTCAGGGACTGTGATATCCTTCGTTTCGTGATATCGGAAGCTAAGTCCCCTTTGAATTCCAAGCTCATGTAAAGTATCTTCTTGGGTACGGATGATAAGTCACGTTTCATAGGATCTGAATGTATATTCTTATCTATAAAATGTGGTGGAAATCCATTTTCTTTTGGGGTTTTCCTTGGAAGTTATAACTCATCTTCCACAGTATCAGGGCTACATATGCGCCGAATACGAGTGGCAAGCGACCGGATCAGGTTTCGTTTTCGACCAATGGGTACCCAGCTGTAGAAATTTGTCACTTGACCATTCCATGACAGCTTACGATAAATCGATCTTTTCAGGGTTCTATCGGTCCTTCTTGATAAGTTCACATCGAGGAAATGAATGCTAGACTCGTTCTCCATTTTGAGGGTGAATTTTATCGCCGGATGGCAACCATTAAATACATCTGATATATTATTCAAGTTACAATCACTAGTACAAATAATAAAGGTGTGATCTACATACCTTTTATACATTTGAAAACTTTGGATTATAGGCTTCAGGTGATCATTTTCTAGACTGGACATAAAATAGTCTGCAAGGAGAGGACCCAAGGGAGAACCCATTGCAATGCCATCCTTCTGTCTGTAGATTCAATGTACATCTCAGATGTAGTTCTTTCAGATCTGTAGTGGGTATCCCTATATTCAGTTTGTTGTCTTCTATATGTTTGCATATAAAACATATAGTTTCTGTCAGTGGAACGTTCGTAAATAGGGATTCGACATCCAAAGACAGCATATGTTTATTCGACGCATTAATATCCTGTATACATTCAACAAACTGGAAGGTGTCCCGAAGAGAATGATTAGATAGCTGTTCCCTGACAGGTTCAAGGATTTCAGCTAGCCATCCAGCTACTGGATGATAGGGCGGTCCAGAGTCTCTTCGCTGAATCATTGGTTTTGATTTTCTATAATAATATTTGATAGTGAATTCTATGGAGAAGTGGATGACGTTGCGATAGGCTCCCAACACGTTCTTATCTTAGCCGACTTTTTTCTGAGTAAACTAGAAAATGATCCTTTAAACAACCTTATCAGAAACTTCTCATTTTATCACCAATATATATGGATGATAACTCCATCTCAATTCAACAAAGTACATTTAGATATATCAAATTCATGTGTGAAGGGGGATTCCAAAGTAAAACTGCCTTTTTAAACGTTCTACTGACAAGGATACCAGACGGTGGTAAAAAAGATTGTGATTCTGAAACTGAAGGACGAAGTATGTAGGTTAGCCACCTATAACTGTGTCTATTAATTCATCTGCTCCTGTGGAGCAAGCTATATTGGCCGTTAGTCGTTCTAGGATTTTAACTCTTCTTGCTGGGAATAACCTTCCAGTAAGGCTGAATAAAGGTGTACATAAAGCCATCAACAATTCTATATTAGATTACCTCATACAAACAGGACACAAGACTGGCTAACATTGAAGAGTCACTCTCTATCTTCTGTCGTATAACGAATAACTTGTCGAAGGCTTCTAGATACCGAACACTCCCAAAAGTACCGGTGATTCCAATTCGCCTTATTCAACCGGAGTTCTGTGTGTGAAGGAAACAAGTAAAGCCAGCCACTACTTATGCCCTGGCCTTCTGTCCAACTGTAACAACAGAAGACAAGGGCCAGGCAACAGAACGTTTATTACGGAAAATCAACACGTATTTATAGATTTTCATGTACATTATTGTAGGTTAATGTTAGTAGAAAATACAGTTTGTTGATTGGTTGTTTCTCACACAAAGTTAACCTTGCATCTCTTGTGGCTGTGTCAGTTCATCTATATGTTAACTGTATCCGCCTGTCCATCTTGACCTTGACCTCAATTACTGTCAACCA